TTCGTTGTCCGTAAAGTAGTGCGGCTTTCCTTTTGTAGCTGGAATTCCGAAACGTTCGAGACACTCTTTGTCTGTTCGTGCAAAATACTGCCAAGGCTCGTAATTTTGATCGTCTATAGAACGTTCTAAAATCCAAGTTCCTGGTCGTGGGGAATTCGCCATTTTAATTATGACGTAGGCAATTTGGTACACCTGTAATTGAAAAGTTAATTAAATTTATTTGTTTATTCTAGAAATCTTATAGATATTTATTCAATAATAAGATAAAAAATATGTTAAACAATGCTGTAGGACAATGTTGTTACAAAATTGTCACAAAAAATTTAGAGAGCAATTTATTTCATTTGATTATAATTTTCGTCTACATTTGAATTTTTTAGCTTGTTTTCTACTACATCCCGTTTTTGCTTAATTTTTTCTTGTAAAATTAGTTTTGGTATCAGCAATTGTCTTTATATGGCTCAAAATTTTATTATTTCTGAGGTTAGTGGTCCACAACTCAAAGACTTCGATCCTATCCACTCTTCTTATTCGACTCCATACAACACAATAGGCAAGATATAACATTTGAGAACACTTATTCTGGTACTTAATGGTAAATGTCTACAGAGAAAAAGATTCTTGATTTTAAAATATTGTTTTGGCATTGTTTTTAGTATTTACTTCATCACAATTACATTTCTCATTTAATGTAGCTTCATGATAAGTAAAGCTCATGACTCGTTCGATTATCTGCTTATTAATAGGATTACGATGACCAAACTGTTTACCGTATTTATTAATTTTGTTCAAAATATTCTAAAGCTAGAAAACATGTTCCAAACATAAACTTTGAACAAAATAGAAGTTTTTGTTAAAATATAGTTATAATTGTAAATTTCGGCTGACTGGCTCTAAACTGTTCTTTTTTATTCTCATATCCTTATCATCAAAACTGAAGAATCCCTAACGGCAGTAACATACATATAAAAACCTAATGAAGACTAAGTTATTGAATCGTCAGTTTAAGGTCGGTCAAACTAGCAAGAAAATTATGCGGTCTTGCAAAACTATATATTGTAAAGTGCTTCATTATCCACCCTCAAAAATCCACTGCTGAACTTAGGCCTCTTCCTCGTGTTTTCAAACCCATCTGTCTTAAGCCACTCTCAACCAGTTTTTGTTTTGTTTTCGTAAATCGTTAGTCCATCGTGTAGGTGATCGACCGACGCTCCCCTTATCTTCCCTTGGTATTCATTCCAATGACATCTTTGTCCATCGCCCATCCGTTATTCTACCTATGTGTTCTGTCACTTTTAAAGTTTCTCTCAGTTTTCCATATATGCTGCCCACCCTAGAGCAGTTTGTCTCTTCAGTTGCAACCCTGCCAATCATAATGTTAAGTCCTAGATATTTATATTTGTTCGAGTTCTACTTCTTGCCCACCAATACTGATGTTCTGGTTGGGTACCAAATTTGTAACTATTTTTGTTGTAGAAATACATTTATATTTAAACATGTTATATTTAAATCTCCATTTTCTGTAGCCACAAAGAAGGTAAACTGCTTAGCTCTTTTAGAATAATGCAGAAAATCATGATGTAAAAATAATTTAAATGTAACCCAAAAAAAACTTTGGAAACCATGGAACTAAACCAGAAAAAGGCCCATAAAATATAGATAGATAATGTAGAGCAAGCTATGAACGTCAGAAAATGAAAAACAAGTAGCTAACAAGTACGAATCGAAGAATTATTTTTTCAATACAATAAATCCAAAAGAGTGGTAGCGTCAAAAAAAAAGGATAAGAAGAAGAGTTACTTTGATTAATAAAATCATTTTTAAAACTTTTTTTCTTCCCAATCAAAAATATTAATTAATAGACTAATAAAATATAATATCAAATCATATCAAATTGTAATTAACCAACCAAATCGATGAGGAATGGACCACGGAAGCAAATTTACTACTAATTATAATGTTTCCTGAATGTAATTAGCTTGAAGCTGTTTATCTCTAATATTAATTCTGCAATACCAGTAAAGATTTATTTAAGTTTGTCTGACAAATATATTGATATATACTAGATGCATTTATCCCAAGTAACTATAAAAAATACAGTTATAGCAATATTTGAATTGTCTGACTAATTGGTCTTAACTAAAGTCATCTAATTAGAAAAAAAGTAATATTTTATTGCTTTTAAATGTTAATCATTACATATATTTTATTGTTGTTTTTTTCTTTCAATAAATTTGATTTGTCGTATTTAAATTTACATATTTTTTAATTGTTTTTAATTTTTCATTAGATTCAGTCTTGTGTGACATGTTAAAACTGTTTGTTTAATATGTTTCCGCCAATTAAGTAGTTGATCAAACCACATATCTAAAAACTTTACCGTTTGTTTAAATGAGAACATGGTATTATATAATTTTAAGGTAGAGGGCGTTGATGAAACCTATTTGAAGAAAAGTATCCCTGATGTTTTTGTTCCTGAAAATTTAAATCCGAATAAGCAAGGGTTAAATAGCTCCTTTATAGGATAATGCTTCTGTATTATTCACTTAAAATGAGAGTAACTTAGAGTCGGAACAGGTTTTTATTTTAATTAGATCAGAAGTTATAGTTGCATAAAGAGTTGCAATATTAGAATTCCTTTAGGTAATACTGGCATTATCAGCAAAAAGAAAAACAGTTCCATCGATTTTTAAGTTAGTGATGTCATTTATAAAGATAAGGAAAAGTCGAGGACCCAATACTGAACCTTGTGGTACTCCACATACAATGCTTTTGTGACTAGAGTCAGTATTATTTACTTTAACCAGTTGTTTAATATAGCAATAAAACACTGAAAACTTTGTTTTCAAACTTCCACAAAAATTTATTTTAACTATTATCACTACAGCTGTTTCGGCTGATTGCCTTTCTCAAGTGATCTATTTTTTTCATGCGTTTACACTTTATAGTCTCTAATGAAATAGGTTGAGGAGGGGAGAACTGTTTGTCTCAAGTTTTTCTAGATTTCAAGATTCTAACAAGGTAAGCTTAAGGCCTTTATTTTGAATGTGAAGAATTTTAAATTCGTCGTTAAAAGAATGATTGTGATCTAGAAGGTGAAGTGCGTATGTAGAATCTGTTTTGCTATTATTGAAAGTCCTTTTATGTTCTGTTATTCGTTTGTTAAAGTTTCTACCAGTTTGACCGATGTAAGTTTTTGGGCAGTCGCCACATTTAAGTTTGTACACACCACTGTGTAAGTGTTTTTTATTTTGGCTCTTGTTGTTTTTGATATATTTGCCTAGGTTGTTATTTGTTCGGAAAGCTGGTGTTATTCCTTTCTTTTTTATGTGTTTGGCTATTTTTGTTGTAAACAAACACTATTAAACTTTTTGACTGTTACCTACAAGTACAATCAGTTATTCTGTTGCCGGCAGAATATTAGACCCATCAAAACACTCATATCAAGAATGCGGGAGCCGTGTTGCCGAAACCTAAAAAGGATTGGTCAAAACGCCAGAGCTTCGTTGCCGACAGTCAATAGGTCAATGTAAGCAGCACAAATTTAATATTACAGCGACAACTTATATTAATAATATGTTTGTCATTGTCTTGATAACACAAACGTTCTATGTCCGGACATAGTACAAGTGTTCACTTTAACGATCCAGCAGTTGGACATGGTACGTATGTGCACCCCTATACTATTTGAAGGTGGACATAATACTTTTTTATTCAACTTTATTAAATTAACTTTGGATTGTTTTTGGACATAGATCAGTTGTGCAGTGGAAATATATTGTATCATTCTATCATAAATTAGTGGCACCAATATTTAAGAAACAAGAAAAAAAAGTGGACATAACACAATTGTGTTCTAAGGTTTCGAAATAAACTATTAAACAAATAAATTATTAATTGTAAATAAATATATAATTAAAAAAACACGTATTTATTTTTAACTTTACAATAACAATAATACTAGATCTTTGTTGAATGTGTTGTAGGATTTATAATGTCCACCTTTTAAGTTGTAAAAATGTCAGATAGTCTGAAATAAGAGGAATGACATAAAAGGAAAGAAAATAAAGAAGAAATGCAGATAGAATCATAATTCGATCATATTCCTGAATGTAGATTTTCAGGAAAACTGCCATATACCCCACATGTATATTATATTATATACATTAAATAAAAGTCATTACCTCTTATTCAAAACCAACATTTCTGTATAATAATTTAATTAGTTTTCAAAAGATCTTTTATATATTAAACTTCACCCTGTATAAGCCATCTGAATAAAAAATATTTGAGTAACACTTATAGCCTATTAGTTTTATGGTATGCATCTGAGACGGCTCGTAAAGAAATATTTACCAAACGTTACCTTCATGGGAATTTTGTCCACCGAGCTACCTTTGGGTGGAGTAATAATGGTGCGTTCCTCGTTTTTAAATGTGCACCTTTAAGTATTATTAGAAATAATAATACCATGGCTTAGAATAAATAAAAATGACGCTGTGAAAAAGAAAATTTAATTAGGAGATAGCTTTGCGGTATCTTGAAAATTGTAGGGTTAAATACAACAGTTAGATTCTATCAGATTTGAATATCAAGAGGTCATTTAAACTTTCTAAATTAACGATAATTTATTTTTATTAATCACAAAATTATTTATAGTTTAAAATTAAATATAAAATGAATTTTAAATATTAACATTTAATATTTTCAGGTAAGTTTTCTTCTTCTTCTTCTTCTTCCTTTGCCCTATCCGTTTCGGACTTTGGCTATTAACAAGGCTATTTTGACTTTGTTTACGGCACCTCTGAACAGTTCGGTCGATGTTAGTCCGAACCATTGTCGCAGGTTATGCATCCATGAGTGTCGTCTTCTTCCCGGTCCCCTCCTACTGTCGATTCTTCCTTGGACTATTAACTGTAGCAGCCGGTACTTAGTATGCCTCATGACATGTCCGAAGTACTCAAGCTTCCGTTTCTTTACGGTGAAGATTATTTCTTTGCTTTTGCCTATTCTCTGCATTATGATGTGGTCTGTCCAGGATATCCGAAGAATACGGCGATATATCCGCAGCTCAAAGGATTTTAGTTTCTTCAGGGTGGCTTCCGTTGTGGTCCATGCCTCTGCTCCATAGAACAAGACCGGGAAGACATAACACTTGACCAGTCTTAATTTTAGTTCCATTGGGATTTTGC